GAACTCAACAATCCCGGAGAGATTAGAGCCCCAGTTTGCTAATCATGAAATTCATGTAGCCTTTCAACTTCTGTTCAGTGCAATTTGAAACAAATTTATGCATTTTCTGTCTTCTACTTCAATAATCTTTTTGCTAGGAATTCACCTTGTAACAAATATAGTACCTATTAAAATACAATAGAAAGAGGTACACTGCCAATTAATAACAAATTTATTGAAAACAGGAAATCAAACCAATGACAAGACAAACGAGACCTCATCAAAACAAGAAAATGCCTCCTTTTTAATTTTACTGGGGATTGAACCAGGGCCTCATATGATAGGGGAGCCCTCTTCCACTGAGCTACATCCCCAGCATGATGCCTCCCTTTTTTGTTTTGTTTTTCAGTACAGAGGAGTCAACCTAAGGCCTTTGTAGCTACATCAACCTTTTTTCCACGTTTTATTTTGAGTCAGGGTCCCTCCCGGTAAGTTGCTGAACTGCCCTCTCTGGGCTCAAACTTGTGATTCCCTGTCTCTGCCTCCCAGAATACCAGGATTACGGGCATGCACCAGCACACCTGATTAGCATTTCTTAATTAAAAAAATTTGAAGGCCCAGGGATATAGTTCAGTGGCGCTGCACCTGCCTGGCAAGTCCAAGATCCTGAGTTCAATCCCCGTGCCCCCCCCACGCAGGGGGGGTAAACAAAATTTGAAACAAAATGCTATCCTAAAGTTCTTTGTCACAAAATTCACATTAAACAATGCTTCCTACAGAGAAGTGCGCAATACTTGCTAAATAAACACACAAAGAGATTTGGAAGATACACATTTAACAAGGTGATGAATTTTATGATCTGAATTAACTTCTTAAAATCTAGAGAAAAATGTTTTCAGTGGTAATGTACAGTATCATTTTATAAAAGTTGATCCAAAGACAGAACAGCTTAAAATGGATTTATAAAACTCAACTTTTTAAAATTTCTCTTAATATTCATCTAGTCTCTTGGTCTTTCCCCTAGCCCTACTACCACTGCCAAAAGAACCTACATGCCATTTCCAAAGTATTCCCCAAATCTCTCTCTTGGCTTAAGTAAACCTGCCATGTATGGGATAAAAAGAACTAAAAACTGGAAGTTTTATTTTTTATTGCCAATCAATTTAAAATAAGGATCACCCACTAATAGGATTTCATTACATAGTTCATACTGGCCTGGACCTCACTATGTAGCCCAGTCTGCCTCAAACTCTCATTGATCTTCCTGACTCAGCCTCCCAAATGCTGGGATTACAAGCATGCGCCACTATGCCCAGTTTAGGCAGCATCTTTAATAGTTTCCACGTGAAGGATAAGGAATATTAAGGGGTAACTCTTGGCTTTAGGCATATTATTGAAACTAATAACCTATCTGAATTTCCATTCTTGTCAGTTTTTCATGTATTCTCCATAGAAGGAAAAACAGTAATACAAGCAAAAGGTTTATTTTTCGTGGAAGTGACAAGTCAACGTGGCTCAAGAAAAAAAAATCATCTCTGCCTGAAAAGAAGCAGTGTGAAGCCGGATGCAATCTTTTACACCTTACTATCTGTTTAAAATAGATCTTAGGAAGTGCGGTGTGTGTCTGTGTGTTTTTTTCTCTGTTCATCTGTATACACATGTATCTCTCCACATTCATCTTATATTCTCCAGTCTTTAATGCAATTCTGCCTTGCTGCTGTAACTATGCTTTCAAAAGCCACTAAATACTTTTAAGAGACCAACAGTACTATCCTGGGAATAGAAGAAGCTATTAGAATGTATTTTGATACAAATTTCCAGGAAAATAAATGGTATATAATCAAGAGACTAAAAGAAGTTTGTACTTTTCTGATACAGGAATTTCATTTCTGAGGCCTAGCTTGAAGAAATAGGGAAGATATTCACTGGGTCATTCTATTAAAAACCAAAACCAAAAAGGAGCTGAGGAAGGAGGACTGCTTGAGCTGAGCCCTGAAATTCATAGCCAGCCTGGGTAACATGGTGGTGCTGATGATTAAACCCAGGACCTCCTCACTCCTGCAAGGTAGGCAAGTGCTCTACAGTTTCCACTATTTTTAACAACATGAATAAGTACTAAAAATGTAAGTGTAGCAGGATTGAAATATATTTTTTTCTACACAATATGACTCGAGCCATGCAGTATATAATTGTATGTAATATGTATATCTGTGCATGTATATACACATGCTTTAATCTGCATTTTTTCAGGACTTCGAGATTGAATAAGTGCTGGGTGTGGTGGCACAACTCTGTCATCCCAGAATGTGTGAGGCTGAGGCAGGATTGCTGTGAGTTTCAGGCCAGCCTAGGCTACACAGTGAATTCAAGGCCAGCCTGAACTATAAACTATATGCAAGACTCTGTCTCCAAAACAAATTTTTTGAGTATTTATAGGCAGAATTTTTTAAATTGAGGCTGTTATGGTAGACACTTTAGAAAAATTCATATTCTGCTAATAACATTACAGAAAATATTCTCTGTATCAAAGTTACTGATATGTCGAGGGGGGTTAAATAAAGTCTATATGCTAAATCGTTACCTTCATTTTTTTTATTTCTTCCCCTCCACATGCCTAAGAAACAGATACTACTATTATGCTCATTTTATATGTGAAGTTCTGAGGTTCCTTGAGTAAGGTCATAGAGTTACAGAAGGGCAGGGTCAGAATTTGAAACCAAGCACTTTGACACGTGTTTGAATCCAAACACTCCCCAGGAAAGTCCCAGACCTATTTATGAATTCAATACCTGCAGATTTTTCTCATCCACAGATTTTTTAATATTTTCCCCTTCAAAAAGTGTAGCTTAATTCTTGTTCTTCTCCACCCTTGAATGTGAGATGGATTTAGTTCCTCACTCTAAAGACTAAATTTGAAGTGACTAGGTCACTAGCTCTTAGAGAAAGCCAAATGCCATGAACAATAAAGCAAGAAACAATGACATCCTATCCATGACCATGTTAACAAAGCTGCCCAGGAAATGCATCTGAACTTTGGCAAGGCCCATCAGAGCACAGGCAAGGATATGTGTAGATATATTTACTTGGACTGGCTGTGATTTTTAGCAGAAGCCCCCACAAGGTAGGAGATGCACTCAGATGCTTTTTTCAGCACGGGTCAAAGGTGGTGGTCAGTAGAACATTACTGTCGCCTTGTCTGATGGTCAGCAAATTCAAGAGGACCCCCCCACCCGAGAATCACTGCCGTAGACTATAGATTCAGGAATATCCAATTCTTTAGTGTTAACTAATAGTGTTAGGATAGTTTTGTATTGGGTGCCTCAATTTGTCTATAATTTTGTTTTGGTGGACTCTAAGTCTTGAACACCAAAAAATGACTACAGCAACACTAAAAACAGATAGTGGCAGATCATTCTAAGAGACCTGGACAGAGTCATTTGGAGCAACTGAATACAAAGGGAAAGTGTTATTATGTATTCTGTGTAGTGAAAGTGTTGTGTGATGCACATCAAGTGTCAGGTGACTCTCTGACACCAATCATAAAAGTGTTGCTGAACTTGTTGAAAGTGAAAAGAGAGTTTCTTGAAGGGAACTGAGAAAATACCATTCCCAATCTTAGACTTTGGAACCATCTTTCTACAACAAATCATCTGCCAGCTGCCAGTTTTCAAATTTCACATGCATAGCAAAACATGGTAAGCCCCTCTCTCTGATGGGGATTTTACCAAAATGGCCATGTTGTTTTTTCTAAACTAAAACCTCAGTAATCAGGTTTAATTGCAGTATTGGCTCTTTGCAATAAATAAGTGGATTTTGGGTTGCAGTTTGGGCACTCAGTCTCTAAAATGTTCGCCATTGCTGAAAGAGACCCTCTGGCCCTAACCAAGCCATCAGATGGCTTAAGGACTGATTATCTGTTCTGTGGTAGTAAGGATTGAACCCATGGTTTTGTGCATATTAGCAAGCACTCTTATCACCGAGCTATACCCCTAGCCGCCCTCCCCTTTTGGTACCAGGGATTGAACTTGGGATCTTGTGCTTGCGAGGGAGGCGGCAGAACCACTGAGCTAAATCCCCAGCCCTCTAGCCCTTTGTTAAAGTTTATTTTGAGGGCCGGGAATTTAGCGTAGTGGTTTTGCCACCTGCTGGGCAAACGCAAGGACCCAAGTTCGATCCCCGGTACCAAAAAAAAAAAAATGTTTATTTTGAGACAGGGTTTTTGCCAAGTTGCCCAGACTTGTGATTCTCTTTTCTCAGCCTCCTGAGTACCTGAGATTCTTCTACTTACAGGCTTTTTGGCGGGGGGGGGCACTATTTTTGAGACAAGGGCTTGCTATAGGCCACTGAGTAGCCCAAGCTATTCTTGAACTCATGTTTCTCCTGCATCTCTTAAGTGCTGGGTATTTGCAGGGTTTTTTGTATTACTGATTTGTTTTATTTAAGCCAAATTTTATAAAATATCATTAAAATGAAAATGCTTGAACCCTCAGCCACATATTTATTCAACAAGTATGTGGTGCTTGCTTTGAGCAAGTTTCTACTCTAGATTCCTATTACTGGTAGCACTAAATGATATACCCAAAACATAATCTCAGTTCACACAGACTCCCCCATCAAGAGTGAAAGTCCTTGAGACAATATTATATACAAACTGCTTATACATGAAATTAAATACAGTAACAGTGAGTGTATGCTATATTCTGGAATACCACCAAAGAAAGTTATTTATATATACATAAACCATGTATGAATGCAAGGGTTAGGGTAAGCGCATGGATGGGAAGGGAGGGGGACAACTGGGTATTGAAGCCAGGGACTTCACACTTACTACATCCCCAGCCGTTTTTGAGACAGGGTCTTGCTAAATCACTAAATTGCTCAAGCTGGGCTTGAATTTATGACCCTCCTGCCTCAGCTTCCCAGAGTGCTGCGATTATAGGCATGTATCACCACATCTAGTCTGGATTTTTATTTGTTTGCTTGTTTTTAATATGGAGTCTCACTATGTGTTTCAGACTGGCCTTGAACTCATCATGTAGGCCAGGATGGCCACGAACTCATGGCAATCCTCCTGCCTCAGCTTCCCAAGTGTTGGGACTACAGGTATGGGCCACTACAACCAGCACCCAGCTTGAATTTTTTTTACCCACCTTGGATTTTTAATAGGGATTTACAGTAGCAAAATTCTGTTAGTGACATTTGCATTTTTTCTGAAGAAGTACATGGATATTTTAAGATTCTCAAAGAGGTCTATGACTTCTACAAGTTATTTTAGTGTAAGTTATCTTGCCAATGCATAACACCATTCATTTTAGTACATGAACCATTAAAATGCTATAATGACTAAGGGACCAGTATATACCATTTTTGATACATCCTTAAGTATAATCTGACTTTGATTCACGTTTTCTGCACTGACAAGTTTCTCCTGGATCAGAATTTCCTTTAGTTTGTTGATTCTTCACTGCTAAAGCTTGTGTCTGTATGTTCCCCCAAAAGCCTCATGCACTCACAGGTGGGGCTTTTTGGAGGTGACTGGATCGAGAGTGTGTGAATATGGATTAAGAGTGTGGTAACTAAATTAGCCCACTGATTGGTTTAGGATAGGTCTGAGTGTGGATAATGGGAAAACCCACCCTGGATATGAGCGGCACCATCCAACAGGATTACACCCTGGATGAGATAAAAGTGAAAGGAAAGCTCACTGCTGGCTGCTTCCTGCCTGCCCTGCCATGGACTATTTCTCCCTTTGCCATGCTACTTGCCTTGGAGCTGGCCAGCTATGGACTGAAACCTCTACAAACTGTTAGCTGAAATAAACCTTTTTCTCTTTTAACTTTGGGTGTCAGGTATTTTATCTCAGCAATCAGAAAAGTAGCCAAGACATTCATTTTATATTATGGAAAACACTCCTTCAAATTCTTAGCAGCCATACTTAAAAAGACTGTCAAACTAATTATTGCAGCTAATCTTTTCTAACAGGTGTTAAACACCTTTTAAATAGCAATTATTAAGCACTCATAAGTGCATGACACTCTACAAGGTGAGTCAAAATAGTTAATGCACTCCCTCCCACCTCTCTGTGTGTATGTGTATATGTGTGTGTGTGTGTCTAATTATTTTTCTTTCAATGCTAGGGACTGAACATAGCCAGGACCTTGTGCATGTTAGGCAACCACTCTATCATTGAGTCTCACTCCCAACCCATAGTTTCTATTTGCAGGGGGGGGGGGTGTACCGGGGCTCGAACTCAGGTCCTTGCGCTTGCGCAGCAGGCGGTGAAACCACTGGGCTAAATCCCCGGCCCCTTTCTATAATTTAAATACATTGGTGACAAGTGATTTCAAGGGTTTGGGTTCTTTATTATTAGAGAATGTATAGTACATTGAATATCCTGGGAAAAAATTTGTAATTCCTGTAAAACTTTACAAGAACTAATGCATGATTTTTGTTTGGCATGTTTAAAATTATAAGGAAACTTTTAACCAAAATGTTTTAACACTGTAAGTCAAAACTCATTTTATTAGCCAGGCACAATGGCACAGGCCTGTCACTTGGGAGGCTGGGGCAGAAGGATGCCATGAGTTCAAGGCCACCCTGGGCTAAATAGCAAGACCTTGTCTCAAAAAACAAACTCATTTAATTCCAAAAGAAATAGATGAACTAATTGCTTCCCTTATTTCAATACAGCTTCTGCATCCTACCCACTGAAAAATTCTTCAAAAGTCAACACTGAGCTTCTGATAGTGTTCTGATAGTGTTAAATTCAGTGATTTATTCTCAGTCTTCATCTGATTTTGTTTCTACAAATGACATTATTTACTCCCGTTACTGAAATCGTTCCTTCATTTGATTTTCATGGTAGTAAACTGGCTTTGTTTTTTCTATTTGTTTTTTTTCAGTTGGCTTCACTCACTTCTACATCACTCTTAAGTGTGTCTTTTTACTCACAGTGTGATCTTTAGCTGCCTTCTCTCTTCAGAACAGTGGTATCCAGCTAGGGCTTTGAATTTTATTTTTAACCTAATTCAAAGCTCTGCATATCTAGTCTTGACTTTTCTTTTTAAGTGATAGGTCTAAATATCTCATTATATGGTAAACATCTCCACATCATCTTTGAACATCCACTGGCATGTAAACCCCTCTCCTTTTCCCCTCCCCACTTAAGGAAATCAAACAATTTTTGAGGGAGATTTAAAACACATAAGAAGTGACTAAAAATAATGTTATAGATAGCCACATTCTCCTCTTCCCAGAAATTACAACTGTTAACATTTTCTTGCTTATTTAAGGGTATGGCCGCCCCCCCCCAAGAAATAATACACTACAGATGAAAATAACATCAGCTTTGAATACTATCCCCAGTCCCCATTCACTGCTCCATCTCTGCAGAGAACCACTCTCATAAACTCATTGTATTTTTTCTTACTCTTCACACTTCAACATGTGTGTATACTTATGTGTGTCCTTGAATATATATTACTATTTTACATACTTTGAGTAGGTAAATGGCACTACACTATATATGCTATTCTAAAATGTACTTCTTTCAAGATCTACATTCTATCCATATTGATATAAACAAATATAGCCATATGCTTTAAAAATTCTAAAAGTAGTCTGGTGCATGGATGTACTCCTTTTTATTCACATTTCTACTGGTAGGCAAAAAAAAAAGTTGTTCCTATTCTTTTTTTATAAACACTGCTACAAAAAGTTTTTCTTAACCATGTGTGGTAGATTCTCTCCATTGTATAATTTTACAAATAGAAATTCTAGGTCATAAAATAAGTGCATTTTAAATTTTATATTATTCTCTCCAAAGTAGCAATGCCAAGTACAGCAGCAGTATATTAAGAGACCCCACTTCTCCCATATATTTGACAATATAAGACATAATCAGACTTTTCATATTTCTGCTGTCAGTATCAAGAAATTTTTCACTGTCGTATTAATTTGCATGTTCTTAGTTAAGTATTGGGGATAAACCCTTTTTTCATATATTTATTTGCTATTAACATTTCACTTATGCATTGTTTTCGTGTCTTGAGCCATTTTCCTACACCAAGTTTTGTCTTTACTGATCTGTACAATGTTAACATATTCTAGCCAACAGTTCAGATATGCTACAAATATCTTCTGCCAGCCTGCTGCTGTACTTTTAATCCAGATGTCTATAGTATCTTTTAATTCTACAAAAACTTCAACTTCTGATGTCAAATTAATACTTATTTCCTTAGAGTGTATATTAAATAATCTTTGAGATTAAAAAGGAAACTACAGAAAAATTAAGAAATAAATATGTCTGATACTGGTGCACACCTGTAATTCCAGCCTGAGAGGCTGAGGCAAGAAGATCACTGTGAGGTCAAGGCCAGCCTGCACTACACAGTTCAAGGCCAGTTTGTTTTTTGTTTGTTTTTGTTTTGTTTTTTTGGTACCGGGGATCAAACTCGGGGCCTTGCGCTTGCAAGGCAGGCGCCGGAACCACCGAGCTAAATCCCCAGCAAGGCCAGTTTGAACTATATAGGAAGACCTTGTCTCAAAACAACAACAAGTATTTCTAAATAGAAGTGAATTAACAATAAAAATTCAGATTCTTGGGCTGGGAATTTAGCTCAGTGGGACTATGCCTACACCTCACAAGCGCAAGGTCCCAAGTTCGATCCCTGGTACCAAAAAAAAAAATTAAGATTGTCAAAGTGTGACACAACTAAAGCAATACTTAGCAGTCAGAAAATAAAGGGCTTAACAATAAACAAATTGCTGGGCACAGTGGCACACACCTGTAATCCCATCTACTCAGCCAAGGTGGGAAAATCAAGAGTATGAGGTTAGCCTGGACAACATAATAAGACCCCATCTCAAAAAATAAATCCATAAGGAAGCTAAGCGATTCATAATGATGGAAAGGGCAACAGAAAAAATCTCAAAAGAAAGAAAGAAAGAAAATGATAAGCAGGAAAAATAAAACAGGAAACAAGAATTTTTAAAAAACAGAAGATTCACAAAGTCCAAAAATGATCTTGAAAAGATCTAGGGGCCAGGGATGCAGCTCAGCGGCATCGCACCTGCCTGGCAAGTGCAAGGTTCTGAGTTCAATCCCCAGTACTGGGAAAAAAAAAAAAAAGAAAGAAAAGATTAATAGGCAGACTTCAGCATGGATGATCATAAAAGAGAATACACAGTGTACAGAATATAAAATAATGAATATAGAACAAAACAGGGAAATAACCACAGATAAAATAGAACAAAAAATAACTAGTTTCATGAATAATTATATACTAATAAAACTGACATGTGGATAAAATTATAACTTTCTAGAAAATATGAAAGTACCCACAGGAACATATAAACACACAAAACTCAATAGAATAATAAATGGTAAAGAAATTAAAATGTAGCTGGGCATGGTGGCACACACCTGTAATCCCTGCACTTGGGAGGCTGAGGCAGGAGGATCGCTCCAAGTTTAAGGCCAGCCTGGACTACACAGTAAGTTCAAGGCCAGCCTAAATTACATAGTGAAACCCTGTCAGAGAGAGAGAGAGAGAGAGAGAGAGAGAGAGAGAAGAAAGAAAAGATAGAAAGAAAGAAAGAAAAGGAAAGAAAGAAAGAAAAAGAAAATCTAAAACCTCCCCTCCACAAAAAATTCCAGGCTTAAATACACTTGTATCCAAGAAAAGCCAGGCATGGTGGTGCATGCCCATAATCCTAGACTTCTAAGAGGCCGAGGCAGGAGAATCATAAGTCCCAGCCCAGCCTATGCAACTTAACAAAGCCCTGTTTCAAAATATAAAAGAATTGGGCCAGGGAGTTAGCTCAGACAAGACCTTGTCTCAAAAATTAAATGAATATATACAATAGGACACATACAGCCACACTAAAAAAAAAACCTACATTAATCAACTTAAATTTGACATTCACAGGGGTGGGAGGGGAGATGGGATTATTGTATAATGAAGATAAAAGAAAATAAGTCATCTAAAAACAAAAGTATGAAATAGGAATCTAACTTTATATTTCTTTATAAATCCTAATATATATATACACACACACAAACACACAATCATCCTTTCACTCTGACTTGTAAATCTGTCTGTTATGTACCAGATATGTTATATACCAGATACATACTCTGTTTCTGGGTTCTCTAGCTACCCTACTAAACTATTTTTTCTGAAAATAACACATTTGAAATTTTTCTACACCTTTAAAATCTGTTCTCCTTTAGTCCTGGGGACTGAACTGTGGGCCTTGTACATGCTAATCACACCTACCACCACTGAGCTTCAACCTCTGCCCAGGTATCATTTTTTATGACTAGAGGGCAAGGACAGACACTTTTCTTTTGCAGAATTATCTAGACTAATTTGAATCTAGAAAGGGTCTATCAAGTTCCAACAAAAACAAATCCTTCTGGATTTTGACTGGAACTATCCTGAATTTATAGATTAATAGGGAAAAAAATAACAGTTTACCATGTTCACTTTCTATACGTGTTTGTGGACTAAAGATGACAGAAATCAATGAAGCCAGGCATGGTGGTGCACACCTGTAGACCCAAGCACTCAGGAGGCTGAGGCAGAAAGATCACTGTGACTTTGAGGCCAGCCCGGACTACATAGTGAGACCCTGTCTCAAAACACACAAAAATATACCAAAAAAAGTTATAATAAAAAGCTACTGTTTAAAAAGAAGATATAAATCAATGATTTTGGTCTGTTTGTTTTCTATTTCTTCTTTAACAAATTATATATCTCTTCATTTATCTTCTGTAATAAGATAATTCTCATCATAAATTATTAACATTATTATTAGATTTATTCCTAAGTACTGTATCTAGTGAGGTACTGTTTTAGGTTTTTTGGTTATTGTTTTATTATGAATGGTATATTTTGCTTCGTTTTATTATTGCTTTTATATACTGACAGCAGGACTGATGAACATTTTGTGTGATGAATCCTTTTAGCAATTTTAATAGTTTATCTGTATAATCTCTTAGAATTTAAGTGTTAATTAAACCATCTTTAACATTTTTGTCTCTTCTTTTGATCTTTATGCCTTTCATTTCTTTCCCTTGAGTGTATTGGCTAGGACCTCCAGTAGTATTCCTAGTTAGTTAGGATGATAGCTGACACCCTTTTTCTCCATAAAGTTTGATATTTGTCATAGATTTTTTTTTTCCGGTACCAGGAACCAAATTCAGAACCTTGCACCTGCCAGGCATGCGAGGCACAACTGAGCTAAATCCCTGGCCCTTGTCATAGATTTTGTTTTGGTATGGTTTTTTGAGTCAGGGTCTCACTTTGTAGTTCAAGGTGGCCCTGAACTCATTAGGTAGCCCAGGCTGGCCTCGAACTCTCAGCAATTCTCCTGCCTCAGCCTCCCAAGTGCCAGAATTACAGGCATGTGCCACCACACCCA